TTCTAACACTTTTAAGGATGACTTTTGTCAAATACATTTCATCGTTCGATACATTGTTCGACAGGATGAAGGAAAATAACAGACCTCGTGTTCTCCGCAACGGCAACCCTGTTATATTATATTTTCCTCGCTTCGCACAAAAACACAACATACAAATGTTTTCCCTTTGCGAAAGTTGTCACAACATATAGACTTTCAACAAGTTGCGTAATTATTACATATGTAATGTCATTCTTAAGCTCTACGCAGAAAAATTGTCGAGTGAACACAATGTGACAGTCGTCACACCTTCAGCACCTAAATTGGAGATTTTAAAGAAAAATTATGCATGATCGACGAGTGCTCGTCAAGCTGCTCGACATTTCGCAAAAAGCTATGAAAGATCGTACTGTTCCTGAATCTCTGCACAATCATCTTTCCCGTGAAAGCTTCTCGGAGGAATGTAATTATTTTCGTTAAAAATTTATACATATATATTACGTATATCACTATAAAACGCGTTAGTAGATCTGCGTGTATTTTTTGGATAGAAATATTCATATATTTTTTTTTAAAATGCACTCTTATATATTTGAATTATTTTTGCAACAATATTAAAAGTAATTAGATGTAGGATGTTGGTAATACGTGCATTCATTTTTCTCTTCGGTATATTTCATTCGAAAACCATGTAATCAAGAACAGCGTGCATTTTCCGTCTAATTGTAAGACTATTGTAATTTTCAACCCATGGACAGGAGGAAGCCATACATTCTCATTAAGACCTTTCGTTCGTTGCGTCGAACATTTCGAGATTATCGGAGGTTTATTTTCGAAATATAACGTAAAGTTTTAGATAGACGGAGACGTTTTTACGTTCAAAGAACCGTGTTTTGATTGTTCTATACGCTTTTTTTTTTTTTTTTTTTTTTCATCAATGACGAAAGTGTGTAAAAAGTATTCCTTTTGAAATGTCCCGTCCAGTTTTGCTTACTTCCGTCCCTCTGAAAATGCGAAGTCGAAGCTGCTTGCAGGTACTAACGATCTCAAACGCATTCTCTTCGTCGACTGGTCGAGAGTACGTGAATTTTCGTGAAATTAATTACGAATGTATGCTAGAAGAACACTGCCAAGAACACATGATAGAATCAAAGACGCTGGTGGTAGAACGTTCGGTGTTGCCGTGTTGCAAAAATCTGTCAAACACGAGCAGACTTCTTGACGACCGCCGAAACCGCTTCTTTGGTAACACCTTCCTTTATAATTTGACTCGTCCCATCCGCAACCTCTTATGACTCGGGTATCAGGTGGAACTGGTTTTGAAACATGTGTAATAGTTCAGTTTATCTTACTTATTACTAATTAGTGAACTGCCAATTTAACAATATACAAAAATATATAAAACGTTAAAAATAAAATATTACAATGTTTAGAGGATAAAATAAATTTCTATCTAAATTTCATTTCTTCAGTGGAAATGCATGAAAATCCGCAGTCTAATAATTGGAATTAAAAAAGTGAATTTTTAAGGGATACTCAAAGATAGAGAAATGTATATAATTCACGTAATATCCAAAAATATATAAAATATATTCAAAATAAAGTATTAATTTTTATTTACATCTCATTTCTTTAGTTATATTAGAAAAAATATTAAAATTTATAAGAATCCAATGATCTAATGATAATCTACTTATTTCTTCATTTATAATATTTTTTAAGTTTGTCATAATCCATTAAATTCTTTCTACTGTAAATACTGTAATATTTGTTATAATATTTAATAGATTTTATTTTGTTAATTCTGACAAAAATACGAATATGTATAAATATTTACAGTACAATACGATAAAGTTAGTAAGTTGTATTGGATATTACATGTATCAAATTATTTAAAAATATTAAATTATTTTAAATAATACTATATTGTAACAGTCATTGCATTAATCACGCCATTGCAATATTCTTGGCAATGCATTGTAGTTTTCCACAACGTAATAAAGATATTATATTAATTTAAGTAATAGTAGTAAAATAATAATAGTGCATTATGGCAAATTATTATGTTAAAAATTGATTCTATAAAAGATTGATAGCATTACAGTTATAGTTGCTGCTTGATTTATTGTAATGGTATTGAAATATAAGCAAATATGATACTTTTGAGACATATTAATAAACGATAATTCTCTTTCAATGAAAAAATTGGAATAACACTTACGTCCATTAACGCTGAATTCAATGACTTGCGTAATCTTTCGGCACATGGTATATTTTGCGCCGTTCTTGAGATCGGAGCAATCTTTTTTGAGGGCATCGGGTGGATGTTCATCGGCGCATCGACTGTCGTTGTGACTGTTGCAAAGATAACATTGCATCGCATTTATGCCTGCAACATGTTAATGATTTACTTGGAAAATGGGCAATAATACACGTATAGTCTAACATTTCAGTTACGATATTTAGTGGGTGAAACAAATCTCTGTGCAGATTCCATTTTTCAATAATAGTTATCAAAATATAAATTTAAATATTCATAATTATATATTATAAGAATGCAATTACATATTGCATCAAATATAATAAATATATTTTCCAAATTAATTAAACTTCTAAAATCTTTACTGATAGATCAATTTTCATGAAAATCGTTTTAATAGAATCGTATTGTGTTGGCACAGGAAATTCATATTTAGTTTTGTAATTACACGAGATTATAAGAATATTATCGGACGGTTGATAAAAGAGGTCACTATAAAACGTGTACAGTGTGATTATTTAAAGTTTCATATCAAGGAGACCACGGTACTATCTCCTTTTAAATGTGTTCTGTGCCAGTACGATTGAATAATTTGTTGTTGTTACGTATGTATACGTGTTCGTTTATATAGGTCAACATTTGAACACACGAATTATTATAGACTATAGCTGTCATTTACAAAGTTCGTTTTAGAAAAATTCGGAAACGATTGAAAAAAATGGTACACATTCCCTGTGAAGCTGGGTTCATTGTACTTACGACCCTAACTGATATAAAAATCAATGCAGCCATTTGCCCTAGAAAGGCATAGCCACGCTATGCTTTTACGTGCTTGTCTTCAGCTTCTAATCTTGTTTCTACGACCATTCATACTTCCAAGTGTTGAAAAATATAAATAATAACGTTCAATACTATAATTTCAAAGATTACTTATACCATTATTTATAGTTTATAGTTTAAAAGATTGAAAAATGTTAAAAGCGAAAGAATAATTATACAGACATCGATATTAATGTAAATGATCATTTTTTGTTTTTATATTCGATATTCCGCAATAAGCATAAAATTTTGTACAAGGAAGTTTCGAAAGTTTTACATATGTGTGCGCATAGCTGATTATCATTGATCTCAATAACGTTTGCAGCAGTCCATTTAAGTTAAATTAAGCCGCAGGATCGAAAATAGTTTTCGCAGCATATAATTTCGGTTATTTAACTCGATGATAGTTATTCAATTCGTAACGAGTGTACAGTGTTGCACATACTCGTCCTTATTGTTAAATCGGTTGAAACACTAACTTCGCGTTTAAACACTTCTCTTGAACGAGGATGCTAGTTGATCCACTTTTCGAATAGAATGTACTATCACATTATTGACGAGAGAGTTAAGGGAAAACGAATAGAATAAAAATATAATATAAAAAGAAGGAAGAACAAGAGTTGCATTGCAATCAAATTTATCGTAAATTCAATTAGTATTCCATATTATTCAATTATATTTACGTTATCAGAATTGAGAAAGATATAAAAAAAAAATATAGAAGAAAAATTACGAACAATTAGATTCAAACAACAACAATTAATCTTAATCTACGATTAAACAAGAAAATTATTCTGTTATCCAATTAAAGAATAAAAGATAACATAATGAAGTGTTATCATAGAACTGTATAAAATGTAAGTGAATTTATCAATTACATTAACGTGCCGAGTCTCGGAGACAATTGGCGATAAACCACTGGTTGCAACGTCGTGGAAAGTAAGAAAATGATAAAGAAATGTAGGTCTAAAAGAAGGAACACGAGAATCAATAGGAAGCAGTCTCGTAAATCCGTTGCGATCGTTGAACCAAGCAAAGCCTAGACTCGACGCATAGACGCTTACCATAAAAACTGAGAATGACCAATAGACAAAAGACGAGGATAAAGGAACGCCTCATGTTGGTTTCCGTATGATTATCCTGATATGTCCTTCAGCGATTAACTCCGTCTTTGCTGTCACTGGCGTTGATTACACACGATCGAACGATGCGATCAGGGTTTTATTGAAATCAGAAGGAAAGGAAGAGAGAGAGAGAGA